ATCGCACACGCTCCCTGAAAACATGCCCAGGTGTGACTGATTGATCAAGGCAGACTAATTGCTGCACTGAATTGTTTTCTGCCTGCATGCCTGTGGAAAGTTACTCGCTGAAGAAATGTGGTTCCTGGCCTTTCTAAGGGAATTTGAGCTAATCGTTCTCTTTGAGAAGGTCCCTGAGAATATGTAGCATTTACAGCACTTGAACAGAGCCAAGCAGAAACTGGCACAAGGAACCCTTTGGGAAGGTAAAAGATTGCTGCTCAAAAATGCATCGAATCGAACCCCAGAAGGCAGCCCTGCGATCTGCTCGTCTGACCTCTTGCATAATCCAGGCCAGAGAATTCTCTGAAGCAATTCCTGTCCGAACTGGGGCAGAGCTTTAGGGAAAACGTCCAGATCTGATCACACCAGATCTTTTTCATCCTTAGACCAGCTCTGCAAACATCCTTCCCTGTGGTCATGATCAATGCTTGGAGGATCAGGCCTGTGGTCAGGGCTGGTGCCTGACTCCAAGAGCCTTAGTCAGGGATCAGACGCCAAAGCCAGGGGTCAGAACCCCAAGCCAGAGTCTAAATACAGAAGCCAGGTGGGAGGCCAAGTCCAGGTACCGAAGCTGGGGTCGGGATCGGCCTTGGCGTTCAGGGCGGAAGCCAGGGCTCCAAGTCAGGGTTGGAGTCTGGGAGCGAGACAAGAGGCAGGTCCATCCCTGTAGCTGGCTGGGGAGTCCACCTAGTTGCACGGACACTTCCCGGGGCTCCTCTTGGTCTTAAATAGGGTGCCTGGGCCAATCAGAGCCATGTGGGAAGCTGTCAGTCTGGTCTTCTGAGGTGCAGCTTTCTGTGGTGTTTGCCTCCCCGGGGTCCCGTGACAATGTATCCAGCCTTCTCCGGCTGCCGGGGCACCTGCCTCCTCTCTGGCCTGTCTGCAGAACCCCAGCCCTGCCCCCTTGCATGGCTCCAAGCACCGACCTCGGCTGGCGGCTCCTTTCTAAGCAGCTTGTGGAGCAAGCGGACTGTCTTGTCCAATGAGCTTTAGGTTGGCCCCCAGGAAATGCCAAGCTGGTACAAGGCCTCGACTGAGCAGTCCAGCGTTGCCAAGGAGCAGCCGGCCGTGCCTGGTGACACGGCCTACTTACTTCCCGACCGACACAGAACGCAGAGGCTCCTCGTTCTCCGTGGAGCGGGGCAGGTGTGGGTTGCGAATGCTGGGATGTTGGCCGCAAGGCTGAGAGTCCTTCTAAGAACGGGAATGGCCCAGCCAGCCTTTCCAGCCGTCACTGAATCCTGCTGTAAATGAATGTGGCTTGCCATGCTGGCGAGGCTGCTTCTGACGCTGTGTTTTACATTCCTTGGGCGAACTCGCCAGCACCCTTATTAATGTCTCCGTCAGAGGAGCCTGGAAATAGGACCCAAGGATAGGTGGCAGGACGAAGCGCACTCCCACTGAGCCGAGCGCCGACGGCATGCACCGGGAATAGTGTGTCGGACTCTGTCTGTCGTTCTGTCCCTAGGGCTGATGAAGGAACTGGCAGAACGGGGCCTCCTTGGGGAGCTACGAAGCAGCTTGCCACCCAGTGCTGAACTGGGATCTGCATGGGGTATCCACGTAGCTCCCTATACCGACAGCCTGCTGCAGACACTGGGTAAGTCCGAGTGCCGCTGTTCCAGAGCGGGACCCCGAGGTCTGCCAGAGCCTGGGCTCTTTACGGGGAGCTTTTGTGAGCCAGAACTTTAGATCTGGTTCATTGTCACCAATAATGGACTTAGCACTGGCCTCTGAGACCTTTCCCGATGCTGCTGGTTAGTGACTCCAGTCGGACAAGTGGAGTAAGGTGCTACCCTGACAAAGGCAGGGAGGCAGAGAGGAACACCTGGCTGGGGGCAGGGTCTGGGAGCGAGTCAGTCTTGGGCTGGAACCATGAAGGAAACAGACTAAGGAGGGGGCTGGAATCTAGGGGCCCAGGAACCCCATCTCAAGGGGGCTGAGGCATCCTGGCCCTGACTCCTGTAGACACATCACGTCTGTGCTGCGCTGTGTCCTGGAGAAGCAATAAACCCCCCGTTCTACCGGCGGGCGGAGTCTGTTCTTGCTGCTACGGGGCTGCAGGATCGGAGGAACCCCGACTCGCCGTCACAAACAGATACTGCCCTGACCAGATATAAATATCTAAACGTCAGTTAGAGACGCAATCCAGCCTTTCTAGCTCTGGTCGGTTTCGGGCTGGAGAACGATTCCCTGCTGGTGTTGTGCAGGTCAGCCCTCGCTATAGACCAGCGTGGGACTGTCGCCAGACACTTGCTGATGTCCTACTTGTGTATCTGGGGGCTGCTGCTCCTAGAACCCAGGCTCTGTTATTCCCTAGAGGATGAGTCAGTCCCTCCATGTTCAGAGAAGGGGGAAGCTGTTACCCTGGTTAACTAGGATTGTTGTTTTGATCTCCCTGGGCAGGAGGCAATCTGAGTGCAGTGCCAGACTTGGGTATGGTTCCTCTGGATCTTTTATGCCGCCGAAGCTACGCCTCGGATCCTGAAATGGAACAAGTTGTCATCCTGACTCTAGTTGGGAAGGAAGCCCTGAAGAGTGCTGGCCATCTTCTGTGCCACATCCTTCGCCCTGGCTGCCAGAAGCAGCCTCCGAACTCCGGTGAGTCCTGCTCTTGGGGAAAGGTTGGAGGCCTAGGCCAGCTCCGTTCTATCCAGCTCCTCTACTCAGTGGTTTTACTTAGGGAAAGGAGTGATAGGGCCTGTCATGGGGCCTGCTCTTCCTCATCCTTAGACGCCCCACGTGCCTCTCAGACTCTCTCTGTTGAGTGATTTGTTTACATCCCCGTCCCCCACTAACACGATACCACATACAGTGTCTCTCCTCCTTTAGCCCTTTCCCACAGGGCTCTCTCTCCACCCAGTGCGCTGCATGTACTGGACTCCCCCCACTGCATCCTTTCTGTGTCGTCCTCATATCCCCCGCTGCTGGACTAATTCACTCTCCCAGCCTGAGCATCTGACTAGCCTGCACCTCCCCAGCCAGCCTTTTTGGGAGGAGCTACCTCGGAACACAGCAGGTCCATAGATGTGCTGATTAACCTCCCTAAAGGCACCAAAGGTCTGTGAATGTCAGCGAGTGATGACCTCATCCATGGATCACGATTCAAAGAACATTTTGGCCCAGATGGGCACCTTTTGATGCAGGGGGTTTGGACCAGTTCAGGGGAGTGGTAAGGCTCAGGCTAGCTCATATGTGTAATCGGAACCAGTTTACCCATCCCTAGTCTTTAGCAGGCAGGATGGCTCTACAAATGGGGAAGAGAACAGGGGAGTCAGGAGACCTGAGTTCTAGTCTAGCTCTGCCACTGATCTCCTGTGTAACCATGGGCATGTTACATCACTCCTCTGTGCCTCAGCTTCCCCATTGGTATAATGGAGATAGTGACTGTGACCTCCTTTGTAAAGTGCTTTCCAACTGTAAAGTACCATAGAAGAGCTAAGTAGTATGATTATTGTGTTCTACTAACGGGAAGTAATTACGCAGAAATTGTTACGGAATAGAAAACAATGTATTCATTAACATCAGGCCAGTTTGGCAGCCTGGCTCCTGCTGAGTAGCACCTTACCCGGAGAGCCATCTGGAAACCAATGGGAGGGCTCGCAAAGGAAGATACTACGCAGGCGTGCCAGGGTGCCCAAATCTAGCCCATCGTAACTTCAGCAACGTACAATTATGCACTGAACCCCAAACATCTTGCTATCCAGCAAACAAGCCTAGTTTGCAAACATAACAATAGTTAAGCTATTCCAGTGACAAGTCAGTGTTACAATGGCGCTTATTACTATAATTAATATCCCTTAAAATGAAGCATTATCAGAGTGGTTACAGAGTATCTATAATTATATGCTATTCTGTGTCAAAGCACTTAAATACCCTTGGATTCCCAACATATAGTTTCACCTGCTCTCCATTCTTTAATCACTTGATCTCCGTGTCTCTGCTGATGAGGCACAAGGTTTGTTATTTGCTAGGGAGCCCGTTCCTGGCTCGATTGTCAGGCACTGTTTGAATATGCTCGGTTTCGCCCTGGCTGGAGAATGGGGCAGCGGGGAGACACGCGCTACCACTTAATAACGAACAGGTCTCTCTTGTCTTGCAGAGGGACTTGACCCTGGGTTTGAGCTTCTGAGCCTCAAGTGGCTGCCCCGTCTCACGCGAAGTCAGGCCAAGGAAGTAAGCCCCTTCGAGGTGGGAGACACCTGCTGGCAAAGAAGCCTCAATATGCTGATGTCCAGCCCAGCTCTCGTCTGTGCGCTGCGCAGGGTCAACGCCTTTGGGGTTCTTGCCGAGACTCTGAAGAAGCTCAGGCTTCTGGGGGACAAGCAGCGCATGGGCACCGGGGACCTGCAGAGAGTCATGGCCTTGACTCCAGAGACGGCCTTCAGGCAGGCGGCTCTCTTCTTCTCCGACAAGGAGCTCGTAGCCGGTAGGAGTTGTTACTGGGAACGGCCTTTGCAGCTAGGCAGACCCTGGGCTGCTTACGCAGTGCAGACAAAGGAGCCTTCCACTGTGGCTTCCATTCAAGCAGGAGGAGACACACACGAAATGGGCCAGTTCTGCACGTAGGTGCATGTCCAGTGAAGTCACTGGGAGCCGAGGCACCGGGAGGGAGGATTTGGCCCTAATAGTCTAACACAACTGTGTACCTCCATTGCGCCTTTCCTCGGAGGCTCTCAAAGCACGTTCCACTACTGAGTAGCCCTTACAACACCCTGTAGGCTAGGGGAATCGGCTTCTAGCCATTTTGTATGCTTCTGTTTCAGAAACCGAGACGCGGAGAGCCTGTATGACGTGCTGAAGGGCTTCCAGTAGCAAAGCCAGGCACAGAACCTAAAATGAGGGGCCCCAGCCTTTTTTTCTCATAGACTCATAGACTTTAAGGTCAGAAGGGACCATTATGATCATCTAGTCTGACCCCCTGCACAGTGCAGGCCACAAAATCTCACAAAATTTTCTAACCACTCCCACACCCAGTCCCCTGTTCTAAGCACTCCCTGCCCCCTGCCCCATAACTGATCGCTTTGAGACTCACGGCAGAACATGGGTAGCCATCCGCTCCACGACTCCTGTTGGGTTTGACCGTGCAAAGTAACAGACACGCCAGGGCCTGGTGTCCCAGTGCAGGCAGGCTCCTTGGGGCCTTTGGTTAGCATTTCTCTCTGAACTAAAGGAGAGCAGCTCATGGAAGATGGATGGTGCTGTTCCAGAAGCTCCCCACACATGAATGATGCATGCTGGCACTAACACATCTGTGCGGGAAACCTGCCTGTTTCCTTCTGTGGGAAGGAGTGTGCCTCCCGACCTACTAAAACCGAATCGCTTGGCAAACTGGGCTCTTGCATTCAGAGGGGAGGCCTTGGAACAGCCAAACTTGGTGCTCGCTCCATTGCTTAAGAACATAATAGCGACCAGACTGGCGCAGACCAAAGATCCATCCAGCCCAGTATCCTGTCTGCCCACAGTGGCCAATGCCAGAAGCCTCAGAGGGAGGGATAGGATGCAGTGCTGAACAACTTCCAATGGGAAATCCATCGGCACATCCCTACAGGTCTAGGGAAATCCTGAGTCCCAGCACCGAAAGGGTAAATAATCCATAATCACATATGCTGTCACCTCATGTGCACATCACACCCAGGGCATCTGTATTGGATGAGGCAAAGGTGTCAAAGCTCCATAGACTCATGATAAATTCCTTATGAGTTATAATAACCCTCTGGTTCTTCCTGTCGCTGCCCGTCTGCATTGCTGCCGACTCAAGTTCCCATGCGCCTGCCTGTGCTTGTGCAGCGCACAACAGTGCGGCAGCCCAATCGAATAGCCGATGTGAACTGCGATGATGTCCAAAGTGTGTGCACGTGCTCCTGCGAAGATCTGCAAATGAGCTATACAGATGTTCTGTGTGCAGCATGGAGGAGCACGAGGAGGGGGAAAGGGCGGGGAGCCGACAGCTCAGCTAGATCTCCCCAAGAAGCCATGCGAGCTGATGCAGCATTGACCTGCCTTAAAGTCCTGGTGCACGAAAGGTTCAGGGCTGAGAGATCAGCTAGCACAGGGAGGGGTGGTTCAGATGCCTGTTTTCCCAGCTAGGCCATTGTCAGGGTAGAAATGAAGGAGAAAACCTGCAAT